AAAGCTGGGGCCCAGAAGGGAGAGAGGATGGAGAAGAGTGTGGCAGGGATCAGGCTTCCAACTCCCATGACTCTTCCTTCTGACCCCTAGAGTGGGAGGTGCAAAATCCCTGATACCCACTCCCTTGTCACAGCTATGCATGGTGACCTCAGAACATACTGCCAGCCACCTAAGGTCATACATCTGAGACTCCTGTCCATATGCAAGGCAGGGCAGAGGGAGATGCTAGGGGAACAGAGCAGGTTAGGCAGGTAGGTTGAAGCCAGACTTATACCAAGCCTGAGAAGGAAATGGGTAGGGGACACATGGACATGGGACCCGCCCCCCAGCTTCTCTGCATATGGACCAGGAGATCTTAAGCCAGTCATTCATCCAAGTGTGCCGCTTAGGCCAGTAACAGGGCTTTTCCCCAGGAGGTTGTGCCAAGACTCAGGCAAGTGAAGACAGCAAAGCCCAGATCAACTGTGCAGTTCTGTTACCGTGGGCCAGGCTTTGCTTTGGACACTGCACCAGTGTGCTGGCATGTGGTCATTACTGCAACCTTGCAGCAATGCCACTGTGCTCAAGTCAAAAGGACAACAGGATATGCTTTACTGAACCTCATTTCTTTAATTTGGAAGTAAATAGTTAGAAATGCTTAAGAGGAGTGGTTGTCGGCCTGTGTTTTTGCAGTCTTTGGGGGGGGGGGATAAAAAGAAAAGGAGGATGAAAACGCCCTAAATTTCAGCAGCTGCCTTCCTTTCTGTGCCTGTTTGTTTGGACTTGGGCTCACAGTTATGAACCTGCTGAGAGATTTCTGGATTCTGCATCCTTCACTTAACATAAAGCCATGTGCTTCCCCAATCTGGTCATCCACATCCATAGAGGATGTCTTCTCGTAAACCCCTCTCCACTCAGACCAATTGGGACCTTCACTCTGACTTTAATACTACAACAGATGCCCTTGGGAATAGAGTGCTTTTTGCATTTGATGTGATTCTGGGACAAACCCAGTAGGCTCGTATTGGGAAGCACAGGGCAGAAGGCGCTTCTTGGTGTCCTCGTGATGAAGCTAACCCACCACAGTATATCCCATCGTCTCTGCAGAGGAACTTTGAACCTCAGGTCCTCAGCTGGTTTCTTCTTAGCTGCTATTTAGTTTCTTTTCTGTTGCTCTGATAGGATATCCCGACAAAAAGCAAGTTAAGGGAACTGGAGAGCTGGCTCAGCAGTTAAGAGCAGTTATTACTCTTGCAGAGGACCTGGGTTCAGTTCTGGGAGACCAAATGCCCTCTTCTTACCTCTTAGGCACACACATGGTGCACATGCATACATGCAAACAAAAACACTCATACACATAGAGTTTAAAACAACGACAAAAGAAAGTCACAGAAGAAGGGTTTATTTCAGCTCAGAATTCCAGGTTACGGTTCACCATTACAGGGAAGTCAAGGCAGGGATTTGAAGCAGCTAGTTATACCCAGGGTCAAGAGCAGAGAAAGAAACAAATATATGGATGCTTGTCCTCAGCTGACTTTCCCACTAGTATGTGGTCCAGGACCCAAACCTCCAGTGGGCTGGATTTTCCCACATCAACTAATGCAATTAAAGAAATCCTTCATAGGCACTATCAGGGCCCAAGCTATTCTAGACAGTTCCTTATTGAGACTCTCTGCAGGTGGTTCTACTAGATGGTGTCAGGTTGACAATTAAAACTAGCCATCACATCTGCTTTAAGATGATTATATGTCACCTGCTAAAGATTTACATGAGGTTTAAGGTCTGGGCTCTTTTTTTTTTTTTTTTAGTTCTAGATAGGGAACAAGCTTATTTCAAGTCCCTTCTCCCTCTCCCTCCCCTCACCCCCAAACTTTCTCCCCCACCCCCAGCCCATCCCAGGTCTGGGCTCTTAAACTCAGCTGCATACTAGTTAACTGAGATACATCAATTCTGTGCAGACTTTATTGGTCAGTGAATGGATGGGCCGCACTATGACTTGTCTGATGGGAAATCCTGATGAAGGACAGGCCAGCTCCAGCTCCCTCCTAGACTTTGTGGACCCTTGGAGCCTTGGTAAGCAATCTGAACTCTGTCCTGCCATCTCAGAGACAGGAGGCTGCAGTGATGAAACCCTTGAACAGGCATAGATGAGCGTCTTGGCATTCACTTGTTTTATTTATCCTCAGTGCCCTGGACACACAGAGGAAATAAAGTCCAAGACCCAGCACAGAGCAAAGAATACAGCTATACCACAAATAAGGGCCACAGCATATAGACAGTTTCTTCTAGACAGGAAGCCAACACTACTCTTCAACCAACAAGGCCATCTTGTCTCAGGCTCAGTGTGCATTCACTCATCACACATTCTGGGCTTCCTGAGAACCCTCTGCAATCTGGCCTTATCACCTCCTACTTCTTGTCATTCTTCAGCAAGTTCAAGCTTGTTGCCATCCCAGAGCCTTTGAACATGGGGTACCTCATGGCCCTGTCTTTTCTTGGTTTTCCTATGGATGGCTAGCATCCTGGCTTAAGTGACACCTCTCCTATGAGATCTTTGCTGGCTCCTTGACTAAAGGACCCATCAGCCTCCATCGTCTGCTGTCAGGACCTTCCCAGCACCAAGCTCCTCTTTGAAAGGACAGTTTTGACTTAAGCATTCCCTGCTGAGTGTCCTTTGGATATCAGGTCCAAGACAGTGTGGACTAGGAATGCCTACGTCAGTGTTATTCCACAAACATGTGAGAAGTGAGTGCTAGATCCTTCAGGCACAGCTGTCTGTCTATACAGAACCCGAGTGTGCTCAGCACTTCCTATGTGCCAATCATCAGTCTAACTTCTTTATAGGTGACAGCCTCTATAATGTGCCTAGCAACACCTGAGCCAGCAACAAGTATTGTTTCTATTTATAAATGCAGAAACAGAGGCACACATCAGCTGGGCAACTTGCCCAAGATTCTACAGCTTATATGGAGGGCTGGGAAACCCAGGCACACATTGTTGAAACTATGCTGTGTCATATATGGGCAGTCCTGTTCTCACAGGCTCAAAGACTGGTGGGCAAGCAGGCTTTGTCCACAGTAATGGAAGTCAAGGCCACCATCTACAGAATATGCCACTTCAGCTACGTCTTGAGGACAAGTAGGGTTAGCTGAGGTAAAGGACACTCTGTCATCCTGCACAGAGACCAAGAGGGGAGCCAGGCTGAAGAGCTGGAAGCAGGCTCCTTTAGTCTGGAGCACAAGATGATAATGAGAGCCATGGGTTGAGGGTTGTGGTCATCTAAGGTTACAATAAAATAAAATAAAATAACAACAATAATAAAAATAAAGTCCCAAGGGACAAACAGAAAGCAATGTGACTACAAAAATAAACGGGGACTCCCAAATGATGCAGAATCTTGGCAAGACCAGGTACCCAAATGTTACTGGGAGATTTCTCAGCCACACTTCCAGGATTGCTATAGCCCTTGACTTTGTGGTACCAGAGGACACTTTGGAAACTGCTGCTGACTCGCTGGCTGTGTAACCTGGGCTTTCACTCCCAACTGGCACTGGAGGACCCAGTCCCCAAGGACATCTCCACTCCATCAGCTTTGCATCCATAATAGATGATATGGGCCAGGAAGAGCCCGGCATCCCCAGAGTCCAACACTGGGACTCCGGCATACTGACCTTACCCCACATTTGCTCTGGCTGATCCACCACCCCGGGGTTTGCCTGGCTGCCTCTGAGAAGGAGACAGCTCTCCAGCTCCTTAGGCTTTCCAAGGCATGAGTGCTCCCCCAGGTTACGATTGCGGGGGGTGGGGGGGGTCTGCTTAGATCCTTCCAGAGACAAAGGAGCTGACCTGCAAAGAGTTCCAGCAGGAGCCCCGCTCCCCCTCCCTTCCCCCCTCTCCCTTCTCAGTCCACGTGTCTCTATTGTCTGCTCCCCCGCTTCAGGGAAAGACACAGCCTCGGATGTGTCAAAACCACCACCCCCCGGCAGCAGGGAAATTAATTACTGGGCGATTTTCACTTCCTCTCGCAGCGCTCGCTTGAGCTAGGCACTGGAACAGGACCGGCTGAGTGAGGCCGGCATTGGCATGGGGGAGCCGCTCCTTTCACCAGTTCTGGAAAAGAAAGTTGAATCCCAAACCCAACAGGGGGCTCTACTAGGAGCCCAGGCTGGGGGCAGGGAGACTTCTAGTTAAATCTGGGCATCCACACTGCCACTTCAGAACTGGGGCAGAGGGAGCCGGCTACAGACAGAGGGTGGTGGCTGGCCGGCTCACTCTTTTCATCCCCCTCCCCGAGCCCCCATGTGCCTGATCCCACCTGCGCGGGGCCGCTTACCCTTCAATCTCCTTGTCTTCTCCCTCTATTTCTCACCTTTCTTTCCCTGTCTTCGCATCCCCCAGAGGGTGTGTGCGGGGGCGAGGGGGGGCTTCCTTTTTATGTGTCCCGACCTCTCTTTTTCTCCTGTGGGTGCCGGAGTGTGTATTGCCACTTTCTCCCTGTGCCTTTCTTGTCTGTTTCTCTCTCCTGTCTTTTTGTCCTTCTCTTACTCTCTCTCTCTCTCTCTCTCTCTCTCTTTCTCTCTCTCTCACACACACGCACACACGCACACACACACTCGCGCACACATTCTGATTCATTCTCTCTCTCTCTCTCTCCCTCTCTCTCTCTCTCTCTCTCTCTCTCTCTCTCTCTGCGCCTGTGTCCCTCTCGTCCCTCTCACTTTCTCCCCTCCTGCCTGTTCGTTCCTGAGCCTGGCCTGCCCCCACTGCCGGTTCAGGGGAACGTGTGCGGAGCGATTGTCCTGGGGGACATTTGATGGATTAGAGCGCTGAACAGTTCCATTGCTGGG